GAGGGGGGTGCCGTCCGTCCCCCCTCAGCCGGGTGTCCCCCGCTGTCCCCAGGTTCGGGCCGCCGCTGGTGCTGCGGGAGGAGCGGTTCGTCTCCGGGGAGCAGCTCCAGCAGAGCATCCTGGCCCAGCTGCGGGCCCTGCTGCGGGGAGAGGTGCGGGCGCAGGTGAGCTGGAGGCGGGGGGGGACGCCGCTGTCCCCCTCCCGGGGGCACGCTCGGCCGGGGCCGCCGGCACCGGCTGCCAGCGCCGGCCGTGGGTCCGTGGTGTCTCCCTGGGTGGCCCTGGTGCAGCCGTGAGTGGCCGCGGTGGCACCGTTGCGGGCTGTGGTGTCACCGTGGGTGACCATGGTGGAGCTGTGCTTGGCTGCAAGGGTCACCGTGGGTGGCCGACGGTGGCACCGTGGGTGGTTGTGGTGGCTCTGGGGGTGGTTGTGTTGTTGATGCCGGTGGCTGATGGTCACTGTGGGTGGCCATGCTGTCCCCGTGGGTAGTCATACTCGTGCTGCAGGCAGCCAGTGGTGTCACCGTGGGTGGCCACAGTGTCCCTGTGGGTGGTGTGTTGTTGCTGTGGGTGGCCAGTGGTGTCACCGTGGGTGGCCACATTGTCCCTGTGGGTGGTCATGCTGTCCTGTGGGTGGCCGGTGGTGTCCCTGTGAGTGGCTGTGGTGTCCCTGTGGGTGGTCGCATTTTCACTACGGGTGGCCAATGGTGTCACCACAGGTGGCCACAGTGTCACCATGGGTGGCCGCAGTGCCACCTGGCTCCCACAGCAGAGCCGCCCCAGCCCAGCCACCCTCCCCAGCACCCAGGTGCCACCATCCCACAGGCGCTGGCGTCCCCATGCTGCCCCTTTGCCCCGCAGCCAGCGGGACGGGTCATCCCCCAGCCCCACATCCCCGTCCTCACGGATGTCCCCTGCCAGCCCGGCCACAGGGACCGAAGAAATCTGATTTTTAGGGCTTTTTTTGTCCCGTGTCATAAAGCACGGCTCCCCCCGAGTGACGCCAGAGGGCAGGGGGAGCTCTGCCCCCCAACCAGCCCCACAGCCCCCTCTCCCCTTGCAGGGGGCGGGAGCCCTCTTCCGCATCCGCCTGGCTGGGGGCTCAGCCCCCTGCGCCTACCTGTCCCCGCAGGACCCCCGTCCTCTCTGCCACCCCGCCGTCGACAGGTAAGGGCGCCCACGGGGGCGGGATCATCCCCAGACTGTCCCCTCGTTCCCCGGGGGTGGCCAGCAGTGTCCCCGTGGCTGGCCGTGGTGTCCCTGTGGGTGGTTGTGTTGGCGCCATGGTTGGCCAAAGGTGTCCCTGTGGCTGGCCACAGTGTCACCATGGGTGGCCAGTGGTGTCACCATGGGTAGTCACAGGTGGCCACCCTGCTCACCAGGGACTGGGTCCCCAGCCCCGTGTCCCCGCCATGGGTGCTGCTCGGGGATGCAGTGGCCATGCCCACCTGCCACCACGGGCTGGCAAGGAGGTGGTCCCATGGGGACGGGAGGTTTTGGGGGACCTCTCACCTCATGCTCGCCCCCAGAGCGCTGCAGCTGAGTGGGGCGGGTGGCCCTCCCCACGTGAAGCTGACGGTGGAGTGGGACGTGAGCACCAAAGAGCGGTGAGTCCCTTGCACCCGGCGGGGGGGACAACACCCCAGCACCCAGGTCACCCTCCCTGACCACCCCGATGTTGTGTCCCCCCCCACTCCCACACAGCCTTTTCGGCAACATCCAGGAGGAGGTGGTGCAGGACGCGGAGAGCGTGCAGCTGCAGCAGCAAGCGCACCGGCAGCAGCACAGCTGCACGCTGGATGAGTGCTTCCAGCTCTACACCAAGGAGGAGCAGGTACCGGGCACCCTGCCCACACCCTGCCCACACCCCCCCCGCCGAGGGCGAGCCCTGCCGGTTGGCCATGCCGGGGGTGGCTTTGGAGGTGGCAGAGGGGTGTTGGGGAGGGAGGTGGCCATGGCATGTGGTGTCCCCAGCTGGCCCCAGACGACGCCTGGCGCTGCCCGCACTGCAAGGTCCCCCAGCAGGGCACGGTGAAGCTCAGCCTCTGGACGCTGCCCGACATCCTCATCATCCACCTCAAGCGCTTTCGCCAGGTGGCTGAGCACCGGCACAAACTCACCACGCTGGTGAGATTCCCCCTGCGGGGTCTCAACATGGCCCCCCACATGGCGCAGCGGGGCCAGGCCGGCAGGCAGCTGTTGGGGCGCTGGGCGCCCTGGCAGCCCCCCCTCTGCCTGCCCCCGAGCTGCCCCCGTGACTATCCCCTCTCACCCCCCACGGCAGCATGCAGGGCGGCCACTACACCGGTGAGCGCCGGGGGGTGGGTGGGGGGCTT